TCGAAACTCGATAATTATTTACGACGACATTGCCTGCGAGAAGCAAGATAACATTAGAGCCTTCTTCAGCATGGGACGGCACAGGGACGTTGACTGTTTCTATTTCTGTCAAACGTACGCTCGCATTCCCAAACATCTGGTACGGGACAATGCTAATCTGCTGGTACTCTTTAAGCAGGATGAAATGAATCTCATGTTTACGCATGTTTACGATGACCATGTAAACACGGCTCTTTAAGCAGGATGAAATGAATCTTAAGCATGTTTACGATGACCATGTAAACACTGATATGACTTACGCACGGTTTAAAGACCTGTGTTCGGCATGCTGGAACGGTGATAAGTATGGGTTTCTCGTGATCGACAAGGACAGCGACCTCGACGGAGGTAGATACAGAAAAGGATTCGATTGCTTCGTGAGCATAAATGAGTGATCATTGAAAAAAGTGAATGCAGTAACGTTTTGGATTCGGCAGCGAAAACATGCAACGCGGAAAACTTCGGGAGCAAAAAGACGTTTTACGCCAAATCGCTAAAGCCAGCGATGCGATTCGCAAAAAGCATAGAATGCTAAAATTGGGTAGAGAGAACGTCGAACAGACGATGAGTGAGGTTTTGAAACCGGTAGTCACTCCACTGCAGAAACCAGTGACTGCATCTCGGCCTGACCGTAATCTTATCAAGGACGAGATTAAGGATGAAGTAAAGCAAGACGTAGAAGCGGATGATACGTTTAGATCGGCAGATGAATCCTTCAAGTCGCTAAAGAATGATTCGAAGATGACGATGACGAAGATGAAGGAGATAACGATGACGCAGACGTATCCGTTAATCGGAATGATCCTACGCAACGGTATCTCGATATGCTGCTATCGAGGGAGAATAAACAATTGGATACCACCTATGGTGTGCGTAAACTCGCGAAGAACAAATTGATGATAGGCGATTCGCCCATCAGCTTTAAGATGACGAAGATGAAGGAGATAACACGTTTAGATCGGCAGATGAATCCTTCAAGTCGCTAAAGAATGATTCTTTCGAAGAAGAAGAGGAAGAAAAGGAAGAAGGTAAACATGATGACGAAGATGAAGGAGATAACGATGACGCAGACGTACCCGTTGATCATAACGATCCTATGCAACGGTATCTCGATATGCTGCTATCGAGTGAGAATAAACAATTGGATACCGCCTATGGTGTGCGTAAACTCGCCAAGAACAAATTGATGATAGGCGATTCGCCCATCAGCTTTGAGGGTGATCGAATCCATGTAGGTGATACGACTTACTTGAAAACTGCGGGTTTGATCGAACTGTTATTCAGGAAGGTACCTGACGAGATTAGTATAACCCAGGATAACATGGACAATTACAAAAACATTATTTTAATGACAAATTCACATAGAAAGTACTATAAACCTGATGGTGAAATTCGTAAGAGCAAGAGTTTCAAATTTAATAACGTTATTGCAAAACTGATCGAACAGCCCTCTGTAACGGGCAAAGGTATAGTACCGCGGTACATGACCGCTGCCAAGGACGAACGAACGGATTACGTGTACTGGGACGATCCCAACGAATTGGTAGACCGGCTTCGTCTGCTCCTTAAGTCTCGGGAAGCTGGTAACCCCAGTCACTCCAACGAAATTGTGTCGATT